GCTGACCCTAATGTTACTGGTATTAAAGAAGATTGTATTTTCAATGGACTTCCTTCGTACCATGCAACGGAGAATAGAAGCGGGGACCTGCTCCATGATGTCGAAGAAGGAATCTGTGGTTACGCCCTCCCTCGGGTCCTTTATTGGTTGATTTTTGTGCGTCGATATTTCTCTCATAAAGTTTTCTGCCAAAGAGTCTCTCTCTTCAATTATGGCCCCACCGAGTCAGGTAATAAGCCTCCCATTACTAAACTGACTGAGGACAGGATTGTATCTGGAACAAAGTTTCTGCTTTCGGGCTCTGAAAGTTTATGTTTAGTACGCTATCTTTCTGAGATGGTTGGTGATCTTGTGCCCGAAGATGATCAAATTTGGGAATATTACCTTTGTTTGAAGAAGATTGTGCTTTTCCTATATGCTCCTATGTTCCGCCGTGGCTCAGAAAATATTCTCCGGGTGTTAGTCCAAGAGCACCATGAAAGATATATAGAAGTCTTTAACGAGCATTTAAAGCCTGTGCACCACTTTGTCACTCACTTGTGGAGATACATGCTTCTAATTGGGCCTCTTGTTCATACGTCAGGGAAGAGGTTTGAGGCCAAACACAGAGAAGCAACATTAGCTGCAGCTTCAGTGCAGTCTCGTGTCAACATTTTAAAGACAATCATGATCAAAAACAGCTTAAAGTTTTCATACCACATGCTGTCAAAGAAGGGACTCGAGCCACAAATTACAAGCAGCTCAAGTTCTGAAGTACTAGTCAGTGATCTCGACTTTCATCACCAGTTTGCTGAATTGTTAAATATAGGATATGAAGATATCATTTCTGTTTTTAAATTTATTAACTATCATGGTACTTTTTTTAGGGTAGACACGGTTTGCGTGTTTCATCTTAATGAATATGAGCCCGTATTTGGGCAAATTGTTCATATTGTTATTCACGAAAATTCACCAGTAACGTTTATCTTAAAACAACTAGATGTTGAATACTTTGATGAGCACTTTTATGCTTTTAAAGTTATTCACACAGATCGCATTGTTTGCTGCCAGCCTAGCCAACTGTCATCACATCAGGCATTGTGGCTTAGGTCTGGTGGTATGGATGGGTCTGATCTTTTTGTATCACTTCGTTACACTGTTTAATATATCTATGTGAATGTTTCAAAATGTCTGTTGTGTCAGATGGAAGTTATCCATATTGCATGTGAGTTTTGTAAGTTGTAACCAAACTCTTCTGAGTTATGTACTAAGTGACGTACTAATAAAATAAAATATTTGATGCACAATATCAGATTGACTGAATTTATTTTTGAAAAATATTGCTAACACATTCAAAAATTCAGAGTAGGAAATATTCTAAAATAAAAACAGACAAAGAAACGAAGAAACAATAGACACACTTTAACACTACAGAGTTGCACGAAAAACTATTTCTCGAAAACCTCACAGTGGAGAGACAAATAGTGAAGTTCCTATATTGTTTTATTACATGGAAACATTTCAATGCTTCTCTATTTTAAAAAATATAAGCTCATTAAATTCTTTTTAAGGGTTCGGAATAATTGAAGTTTTTAAAAGTGAAACTGGCCTTATGAATTGATTATTCCACTGATTATTCTCTCTGTAAGTAAAAGTGGCCGACTAACATCCTGACTAAACTTTCATTTGTGGGAACGAAGCAAATTTTAATCCACCAATCCAATGGAATTTGATTGAATCAAGTAAATTTCTTTGGAACCTTCAATCTGATGAATATTTCCTTCGTCCGATTAAATAAAAGTCAACCGCAGCGGCGGCTGCTTTGATGGAAATTGTGTTGCCTCAGATTCTCTCATTCTCCGTAATTTTTGTTCGCTGGATTAAACTTTCTTCGGAAACCGAATAGAGTTTCGTTGCAATAACAACATTTTCGTCACCCAGGTATTGATTAAAATTGAATTGGATGTGTTGATCAAAAATTTTCATCAGGACGACGATAATTTCGTCCACATGACAAAACGGTTTTCTGAGTGCAGGGACACGGCGACACCACCGACTAGCGGTGTCACGATGCAGTTTGCAAAATCGGCAATAGAAACGTGCATTAAAACCACGCATAAAACCGAGAATAACATTACATCCTAGGTTGTCCCCAAGGACGGCACATAAGCAAAAATAAACTTGTATATTTCTATCTTCCACAACAATAGTTATGCCCTCCTCTAGTAAAATTTTAAGTTCATCAATACATGATGCAAAGGTAACTGCATTGCCAAAGTGTTTCTGGTACTTAGACACGGTAATGTTAAAGAGGAATATATTGTCCAACTGTGAGGCGCTCTCTGGCGGTAGACACAGCAAACGAGCATACATGGCACCTAATGATTGAGCCCCAGCATGAGAACCTATACTATTGTTAGGTTCATAGTCATCAAAGTCAACAGCAAGCGGCAAAACGCATTTATCTCCATGTCGACCCATCATTTCTCTCCAGACATTGCCTTGCAAAAAATTTGTTACTTTGCCATCAATATTATTTTGATTAGCGTTCATAAATGTCAATATTTCGTCAAAGACTCCTGGTATTTCCAAGAATTGCTTGAAGACAAGTCTTAAAGGGATAACATAACCATAAACAGGTGCCCTGACGAGCTGAACAGTGCCATTAACTGGCACATACTTATCTACATGTCCCATTTCAAATGCAACAGGCTCTACATAAACACCTTAATCGGCTAAAGCGCAAAACCGCTTTTGTTCACTAGACATATATTCAAATCGATCACTCAAGACTGACAACATATTTTGAAGTTTCCCCACATCTTCGGCATAATTTTCATATAAAACATCAAATTTTGACAGAATATTCATGATACTTTCACGTAAAACTGTTACAGAATTAGATATTAGCTCTGAAGTGAGAAGCACAATGGTATCAACTAGCTTTCTTGATACAGATGGGATAGAATATAATTGAACAACATAGGACTCAACATTGGAATAGAGCGTTTCAATAAAATTTTCTAATGTCAAAGCGTCTATCTCGCCAACATCATCATCTGGAACGTTATTTGGAACATTATCATTTTGAACATTATTTTGAAAATTATTATCTTCAATGTTATTTTGAAAGTAACCATTTTCAATATTAGCGTCATTTTCAAAAAACAAGTTTTGATCATCAACGACGACCTCAATTGGATTCACTCTATTTAAGGGGAGGGTATACTGAAATCAGGATTTCTATGAAGGACTTGTCACAAATTTTTTTTATTGCACCTAGTGTTAGGGTTGAACATAAAACAGTTTCACAACGAATAACAAATTTTTGGGTCTAATAGTTCAGGAGATATAATCAAGTAAACTTAGAAACAGGCACCCAGCATAATTGACCTGTGCGCATCAAATTTGGTGCCGGAAAGTTGGGGCTACCTGTTTTGGATTCCTTTAGGTCTATACTACAACAATTATAGAAGGGATTTTTTGATTTCCCCCCCTCTGATTTTTTCTAATTTTTGAAATTTGACAAAGTTGAAAAACTTAAAAAAACACCAAATTTGAGCTATTTCTAATTTGTGCACAAAAAACTGGGTCCAAATTGAAGAATCTGCTCTATAACTGTTGAACTACATACTCTTATGTACAACTGGTAAAATTTTTAGCCTCCTAGCTTATAAAATGGTGCGCGCAGAATTTTTTGAATGTCGAAAACCAAAGTAATGAGAAAACAAAGAAAAACAGTTGACAGTTGTTTCCCAGCTACTTTGAGATGTTTTCAAATTCAAAATAGCATGCAAATGACCTTGTTAGGGTACACAAATCACTTATATATAATAATCACATCAGAAAAAAATAAAACAAGCAAGTGGGTGCCATTAGTAACAAATTAGAAGTTCCCAGCAGAGTACGTAACACCCTCTTTTTTCAGTTTTTTCTTCTCTTCTTCCCTCTTCTTTTTAGCTTTGGCTTTTCTTTCAAACCTAGAGGTTTCAAGGGCTCTTGCTGAATTTTGGGTGCGCCTTGTGTCTGCTTTGGTTGCCATGGCAACAGCTGAGGCAGAAACAGTTTCACCTTGAGATTTCCGTAAAAGATGTAGAGATGCTTTTCTACCCATATTATAATGGGCAGCTGCTGACACCATTGATAGATCTATTCTTCTCTTTGAAACAAATACTTCTTTAGGACATCTCCCCCATAAAACTGAATGAATACTTTCATTAATATTTTGGGTCCCTCCACTGCAACACCTAGAGCAAAAAAAAAATAAAAATAAAATCTCATTTCTTGTTTTAGTTAACTTAAAATAAAATGGGTTAGTACTATAGTAAAATTTACCTTTTCAAAAGATCCTCATCAGTGAGTCTCTCATACACTGGAAGAATGTGCTTTAGAACAGTTTGACTTATTTTGAGAGTCATTTTATCATGGCTTTGAGGTTTTTTTTTTTCAGTGCCTTTGCACGCTGATAAAAGCACCAAGAATTTTCTCCAACTGGGCAGTAGGTGTGATTGTTCTTCTTATCAGTTGATGCACAGTGGTATGGAGTTGCCATAATAGATTTCTTCATTTTCTTAACATCATCGTTGTTATTTATAATTGCATTTCTGTAAAAGGATGCTAATTTTAAGATCACATTTTCTGTGAGCTGCCCTGCCCCAGCGCCTCCCAGTGTCACACCATTTGTCTTACACTGTTGAACTTTATTTTTAAGTGCAGTGCTCAACCTTTTTGACACATGGTGAATGCATTCTTCCTTCTCAATAGGCACATCATACGGATTGTTATTTACAAGGTGATTGAACGTGCTAGCATCACCATCACAAAGAATTGTGGTGTAGCGCATTTTACATTCATCCTCAGAACGGTCACACAATATTTTAGCAATAGCTACTTCCATTGACTTTGAGCTGCCATCATAATTTTTGTTACACAAACCAGACGCC